AAATGCACACAAGACTGGAATTGAAACAAAAGCGCTACCACAAAGTCCTTTAAACAAAGGTTCACTAGCCAACCAAGTCATCTCAAGACACACACACAGAGGAAACCAAGCTACAACAAAGCTCACACCAACCGAACCAAACAAAACATGAGCTATAGTACTTAATGCTCGTCCAAGATGCCAGGTTGCAGATAAAACATTGAACTAACACCTTCCTCAATACGATTATTTTACATCCTCACCTACCAAACCAAATTCTGCCATATGCCTAGCCATCTTGGAGCATACCAGTCCCGTAGAGAACGCAACACACAAAAACCAGCCTAATTTTACAATTTCAGTCACTTGGGATGCATTACCAACTGAGACATGGCCATTCTCACCAATTACACGCACTAGTACTTACCTTAAATTACCAACAAATGGGTTTGCCAACCAACTCAATTGTGGAGAAATGCTTTTCCTTTCAAACATCCATCAGAAACACACTCCACAAAAGTAACCAGTCAAAACAATAGAACAAAAAAACAGTGAACCCCTCCAACACAGTCTGCTCTCCATTAAGATTTCACTTACAGAAATTATGATATCAGAGATAACAAGACAACTTAGTGTTCTTGCCTTGTACATAATACTCCCCACTCTGTCTTTGTAACCGTGTTTTGCATTATCCATGTGTATCTAAAATATTACAGACTTCTTCAGCACACCGTTTCATCTTCTACTTTCACAGAAGTGGGAGGCAGTGACACTAAAAGCACAAAAACACAAGGAACAAATAGTTGTTGCATAGCTCCCTTTGGACCTTTTATATTGTTAAATGAATGCATGAAAACAGGGTTATAGAGAAATCCTGTTAACTTCACCCCATGTACTGTAAATATTAATGGAAATAATGCCTTAAGCTGATTGCTCACTGTTCGACTGTTTTTTAATTCTCGTCCTCACTGTCGCATGATCACAATTTTCATTCTTTTGACTATATGGTTCACAGACATACAGTTAGACTGTCGAGGACTGGCTTAATCCACGTATCTCGTTTGTTCTCGTGCTTTTTGTGTTGTCCTTCCTATTATGCGGTCTCCAAACTAATTCCACATCAGCTCATTACATGGCTCTAGATCACTTCTTATCTCACCATGGCAGGATGGGAAATAATTCAATTTTTTTTCCATTTCTGCTCCCCAACATATCCCTAATGTCCTCCTGTCTAGAAGCTTTCTCTTCCAACAAAAAGCCTCTTCGTGCAAAACTTTGACCTCTTTCTGACACCTTGTCATTTTCAAATGGAAACAGAGGAAGTGTCAGAAGCTTTTTTTGCCCTAAATTCCCCATCTGTGTGCGTGTGTGTGTCTGTGTGCAGAGTTAAATCTAGTATAAAGCTGTAGTCCATTGATGTTACAGAGTAATTTGTTCCACTGTCAGCGCTGGCTCTGGGTCGGAGCAGGCGCTGGAGAGGATGATGATCACAAGGCAGCCGAGCGCAGCTGATACGGACGTACCATATTTCTCCTCCCAAACTGTTCCTCACAAGCTGGCATTGGAAAAAAAATGAATGGCTTTTCCATGTGCTGTCACACAAACAAGCATATGAACACACAAAAGACGCAGGATTGCACATGCAAGCTCACAGACAACCCGAGCAAATAGAGGCCTGCGCTAACACCCACGTACACAGCCGCAGAGTGTACGTGCATGCACTCGGTACATGAAGTCTAGACCAGATCAGCCAAACAATAAAGGATAAGTCTGTGAGGATTTTATAGATTTGTGAGATTGATAGATTGTGTCTGCGCCTCTTGATCCTAATCCTGCTGTCTGGTTAGTACGTGTTTGTGTGTGTACCTGCCCCCACCTGGATGCCATTACATCAGGGCCAAGACAAAACAGTCCATAGCAATAACTGAAGATGCTGCAGACCTACACACACATTCACACGCGTAAAAAATACAATATTGGTATTCCTTCCAGTCTCCCAGCCCCCTCCCAATTCATATCATATCCACTTTTCTCTGTGGGAGTGCAAGTGACAGCTAGGAGTATAGTTAAGTTCAAGACACTCTTAAAATAGCTGCTTTTATTCCACCGCTCTTAAACTGCTTTTATTTCACGAGTCAACAGAGATCAGAGGAGGCCGGCTATCAGGAGAGAAGAAAAAAACTGCTTTTGTGAACTCAAAGAAAAACATCAGTATGACGAAGAATCTGCAGATTGAATTAAAAGCAGCTCACCTTGCATAATCAAACATCACAATTTAACAGAGCGGCTGTTTTTAGTAAGAGTGTGTGTGTACATATACAAATAATAAGTGGCTCTATATAGATCCGTGTACGCCTATAGGCGTGTACTCTTATCTCACCCTCACACACATCATCAAGGACTTAAAATGCCTCTCTCCCTCTGTCCACTTGTCTCTCTCTGTGTCTTACTCTATTTCTCTTTTTCTCTCATGATATCCACAAATGAGTCTTGTCATTTATTCTCCTTAAAGTTGCTCTGCCCCGATAGAGCCCACAAGTTTGATTTTTTTATCTTTCATAAAGATTCATGAGGAGATTTTTATGAAAAATAAACACCCTCTATACCAAACTAAACCATAACATGCAGCAGCAATCTAAAATACCTCCCCTTGATTTGTCTCTTTTAACAAAATACACAGACACATGTGAAATAACGGTTAAAGAAATGGTGTCTAATGTCTCAGGGTGTTGAATATTAGTAGTGGGAGTAGACATGTCCAAATGCCAACTGTGGCGTTGCATGTAAATGTGAACCGGCTGTCACTTTCTTTATCTGTCTACCTGTTTGTCCAGTCTGTCTGCCAACCTGTTCACCTCACTAATGCTGTCTGCCTGTTAGTACCTGTCTGTGTGTCAGTATGTCACATATTCAAACTCTACTTAGCTGTATCAGGTTTCTCTTTGTGATTTGGTCAATCAAACGTTTAGATATTATCATCATCATCATGTCCCTGAAACCCCCGGTTATTTTTCTGAAGGAATAGTTTGACATTTTGGGAAAAGCTCTTCTTCACTGTCTTGCCAAGAGTTATATGAGAAGATAGATAGAAATCTATTCATCTAACTAAACTATTCCTGAGTGTGATAGATGACGAGTAATGTTCCTAAACACATTTTCTTTGCTGCTTTTCCATGTTAAAAGAGTATTTAAATAATACATCAGAACATGCAATTTCTCTCATCTGCATGAAACCCATCATCTTATATAAGAACTATATATAACCCAGCTGTCACCTGCTCATGTCAGTCTTTTCTAGTGTATAGCTGGCAGCTTGCACTGACTGGTTCCCCAATCTTTATGTTTATAAGTACGATCAACCAGTAGAAAATATCATCAGTCATCATGGAATATTTACTTTCATGTCTATATTCTTCTATCTGTGTGCCGCCGTCTTGGTCAAACCTTTCTTGTGATATATATTTTTTTTCATATAACATGAATGGACTGACAGACCGTGGCAGATCTGGCTAAATAAATGTTGAATGAAAAGAATAAATAAAATATATTTGCACTTTAAAGGAATGAAGACTGCATTGTTTATTAAATGGAGCTGTTCCTTTAACCTGAATACAAGGCCTGTTCTCTGCAGCTCCTGGGAATTATTATTCTGTGCATGCTGTTTTGTTTTGTTTCAACACAGCAATAGAACTAACCAGTCTAGTACCCAATTTAAAAAAGTAACCTACTATATCATGGCTGTTGTTGCTGAGCTGAGAAAAACAAACCATACTGACCACCATGAATATTTCAATCCATTCAATGGGGGAAAATAGGAAGCACAGTCCTTCAATAGAGAGAGGGACTTTAATAAGTTTAGTTTAAATTGTGTAATCCTGCCCTGATCTGAGTTAGGAAGGTGGGAGCTAAACCGTGAAGTGCCTTATAGGTGTGTCATCTGCATAACAGTGGCACTGAATATTGTGCTTGTTTGTGATGTGCCCTAGTGGCAGCATTTATATAGAGAACAATAATGGGCCATGGATGAACCCTTGGGGAGCACCACAGGTCAGAGGGGATGGGCATCACCCATGACCACTGAGAAAGTCCTTCTAGATAAATATGATAAAAAACATTTTCAGGCAGTGATCCACAGTGTCAAATGCAGCACTTAAATCCAAGAGAACTAAAACTGAGCACCTGCCAGCATCAGCTGGAAGTAAAAAGTAATTTGTTACTTTGATAAGAGCACATTTGGTGCTACGACGAGCCTGGAAACCTGATTGAAACTTGTCAAAGATTTTATTAGCATTCATAAAAGAACTCAGTTGTAAATAGACAGTCCTCTCTAAAAATGTAAAAACATGATAATTTAGAAATGGGTCTAAAATTATTAAAACTGATTGGATCAAGACTCGGTTTCTTAGAAGTGGGTGCACAGTGGCATGCTTGAGGTAGGAGGGAACACAACGTGTGGACAGAGAGCTATTTACAATTACAGAGAGCTATTTAAAATAATAATAAACTAAACTAAGCAGCTGCAAGCTGTAGCTACATATTTAGCATACAGACGGGGGCATCAATCTTCTTTACACTGTTTTCTGAGTCTGACACATCTGGCCTGACGTGTTTTCTGGTCTTTTTGAAAGAACTGTTTTTGGCAATTGCCACGCAAGTGTAATTGTGTGGAATTTATTTATGTTTAATAATCTACATGTGTGTACATGGAAATGTCTAATTAGAGTGACTTTAATGAGAGAAAGCGATAAGAATGCTTAAGTCGTCTTTGGGCTCCATCTTAAGCCTTTACTGCATAATTTGGAGTTGTTGAAGCATGTTATCTTATTGTGAAGGACAGAAGTTTGGTCCCTGAAGTAGTGTAAGTGGTGTCTTAAAGTAAAGAAAGAGTTTGGCTCAGTTTTGTTGTTTAGACACGGGCTGCATGGCGGACTGCATGGAAGCCAACTTTTCATTAACTCTCTCTTCTTTTCCTCCTCCTCCATCCCCCTCTCCCTCTTTTTCTCCTTAATCCCCCCCCACAGCGTCCCCATCATGCCCACGCTCTCTTCGACTTCACCCCACACCACCCCTCCCAGCTACGCTTCCTGCGCGGTGATGTCATCGAACTCATTGACTGCTCCGATTCGCTGCGCTGGAGGGGCCGTTGCCATGGACACGTGGGCTGTTTCCCTCCGGAGTACGTCCAGCCCATTTACCACTGCCAATGACCTGACGCGTCACATCAAGTACACATCAATTCCCACAGGTTCATCATTGAGCTGTCTTGACCCCGCCCCTCACGCTGCTCCTCTGCTCTGCACTTGACCATTCATGTTTGGAGCAGACAACCGAAGAGCTGCAAAAGAACTGCTCATCATGTTACTGACTCCTCCCATTTCCCACATGACGCCACCTTTCAGTCACAATCCTCGTCCAATCAGCTGCTACAAGCACATCAATTGCTTCCACCTGATCCCGCAACTCCACTTCTCTTTAATCATGTAAAAATAATAAATTAAGATATGGACCTAGACACTGTGGAGAACTCACATACACACACACACACTCACAGACATAATCATTTACAGCTTATCAGCACTGGTGCAGGCTGAATAAATGCAACACACACACTCACACTAACCTTATGACAAAAAAAACCCCAGTGTGTGTGTGGCCCCTGGGAGGAAGGGAGAGGTTTTCTCCGCTGCAGATGAATCAGGATTTGCTCCAGTGTTTTCCCGCTGTTCCCATGAGGAGATCCGGTGAGCTGGGCAGAGAGACACAGAGAGTCATTGTGGTGTGAATATTTGGGACCAGGCACTCTGAGGACACTGACACAGCAGATTCCTCCCTCTCTTACTGGGCTGGCATGTGTGTGTGTGTGTGTGAGTGTGTGGAGGGGTTTGTGTGTAAAATGTGGGACTGAACATATGTATCTGTATGTTTACTGTGCGCTAAAGTGAATGCATGTGTGTATTGTTTGGGGGTGTTTGTTGGTGTGTGTGCTCTGTAAACCAACAAAGGAGGTTACTATGTTAAAGTGACCAGTGAGATGAATGCTGCCCAGACGACGCTTTGTTTTGAAATACGCAGCTTAAAATGTAATACGCTCAACTCAACTTATGGATCATTTGTTTGTTTCTATGTATTTATTCTTATTTGTGTGTAATCTTAAAATACATATATTATAAGTAAGATTAAACATTGTAAAAAGGTTTTGTTTCTGTTGCAACAGATTAAGAAAAGCACATTTTATGTGATTAAAAGTAAGAAGTTGGACCGGTCTTCCTTAACCTGTAATGACAAATCATTTAAATAAAGTGATACATGTATCTCTTTGAACTTGAAGCTTGGATATTACTGTTCAAAAACAATAACATTTCTGTTATACTGAAAGGCAATACACCAAATGCAGAAATAAATAATAAATATCTTAATGACATTGAAACAAAGGTGGGTTGTTAGTATGTGTGAGCTGCAAACCATACAATATATCCATCATATTTTACTTTCAACCTAATTTCTTACGTAAAGTTGATACATTTTCAGCAATGCAATACATTTTTGTTCATTTTTGTCACAGAAATACACTGCAGGCATAAACAGGCATTTAAATTCATGTGTAAATTGCAATTTTATGACATTTGCCATGATATTTATGCCGGTTAACAGCATAGAATGAATGCCATACAACTTGTTCATTAAGGTAAGGTCACATTACATCCTATGAAATTGCCCCACAACCAAAAACCTGATTATGCAAGAGTGAAAACATACCTATAAATATTATATTCCATTTCTGCCAATAGATCCTTCTAAATGTTACACACTGGACTTTTTAAATTCATTAAATTCTG